GGGGGAGATTTTGAAAGAATTGTTTTTTTTTTTTGAGAGAGTATATTAAAAAATAAATGTTTAGCGAGCATGATAATCATGAAGGAAAGAATGAAGGATTAATGTGAACATTTCAAATCCCGTCCTCAAGTAATTTAAGATAAGATGACCAGACAAAGAGAGTAAGAAATAAATGAGAGAATATAATGAAGGAATTTTAGGTACTATAAAGGGTAATAAAAGAGAAAGAGAGTGAAGAGAAACTTTTTTTTTTGTTCTTTATTTTCTGTGAGAGAGTATTTTGAAAGAAATAAAATATAAGAGTGAGAAATAAAATATTCAAGGATTGAGATATTGAGGAGAGGAATTTTTTTAACAAAACAAAAATGTTAAAAATAAAAAAAATCAAATCAAAGCAATTCCTTCTTTTCTCTTTTAAACCCTAGCCACCAACATCCTTAAGCCCTATCATTTGTAGGAACAACCTTATCACAATAATCACAAATTAATTACTTAGTTCTTTGTTTAATGTATATATATGACGTTGAGGGGCTGATGGGGTCATTATCTAATTTTTTAATTTAGAATCACTAGAAAACTTGATTATACTAGTTTTATTATAGATTCAAGGATAAAAGATTAATTGTGACTAAAAAATATATGAGTACCAATAGCACATCATACCTAAGATAAACTGTTTTATGTAATTTTGAATATATTTTAAAAGTTTAGATGAATTCCTAACCAATAATCTATCTATGGTTTAGGATTGAGATTTATTTATGTGAATAAATTTGATATTAAGAATTTATTATGGGCTTGTATAACTAAAAAAATTCTTATGAAAAAGATTTTTTGTAATTTAAATATTATAAAAAAAATACTTCCAATTAAAATTGGTGAATACTTAAAGTAATTTTGAGAATTTTCTAATCAACTCTTAATATTAAAATATCTATATACCAAAATATTTAACCTTTAAAATATCAATTTACCAAAATATTTAACCTTTAATTCTCATAAATTAAAAAATTTTAGTTATTAAAATATTGGTCGAATTCTCATAAATTTAGTAAACTAATTAAAATATTTTTAAGAGACTTGGCCATATATAATTAAAATATTTAACTTTTTTCTTTTTAGGTTTAAACATTAAAAAACATATAAGAAAAAAATATAAAGTTTAACTTTGGAGTTATTATGAAATCCAATACATTAGGCTAGATACACAATAGAAAAAAATATTTTTTATATTTTCTCTATATTGTCATATTTTTACACCAATTTCTACACCCTAATATCTATGCCTACAATGGCTAGCCATGATCTTCAACCAATGGTGCATGACACAACAACCTAGAAGAGCTTTCAACATTAACCTAAATGAGCATGACACCGGATTTAATTTTTCATAAGTGTGCTTTTTTCATTACAAAGTAATGGACTAGGTGTATAAATACACCAGTCAAGAACACAAAGAAATTCCTAGCAATACAAATCCCACATACAATCATAGAAAGCCAGCTACTTCCTATTGAAAGCTAGACATATAAGCCAAGGTTATTCACCATGGCCATGTCATATACAAGCATAATAGTTTTATGTCTTGTAGACGCAATTTACACACACAATAGATATGCATATCTTAAATTTTATTTTTTTTATATATTATTTTTTTCTATATTTATTAACTTAAATATTATTATTTTAATATATTTCTAATAAAAACACTTTAAAATATAATTTTTACAGTACTCCTAAAAAAACCTCTTAGTCTAATGCATAGGAACTTGTGTCTGTGTAGTGGATTAACTAATTCTCTTAGTTTTTTTATGTTGTTCATAAAGACAGAAAAAGCTTAAAAATACAAAATAAAAAAATTTTAAAATGAATTTTGGTAGCTTCAGAGAAGACTAAGACGGCACAAGGAAAATATATAGATTAATGAAATTTTATTCTAAATAAATCCTTCATATAATTCGATTATCATTTTTTTTAATATGAATTTTATATTTCAAAAACATAATTTATTGCTACTTAATGATATAAGATGATTTTAATAGTAAATAGATGTAATGTTTTGAATAAATAAGTAGGAAAATACAATAAAGCCCTTGGTGGCTTAAAGTATAGGTATAAATGAATGAGGGGTAGTGTAGTAATTCAACAAAACTTGATAAATATAAATAGAAAGTAAAAAAAAAAAACAAAATAAGTGATCTGAAAGTTGAGAGAGAATCGGCAGGAGAGAGAAGGGAGAAAGAAGAAGAAGAGAAAAGAGGAAAATTAGAAGAAAAATAGAAAGGAGTTGAAGGAAATAAGTTTAAAGGTAAGATTATATATAAGTATGTGTTGATTAAGTTTTAATTTTGGTTTTGATAAATGTTAGGGTTTTGAAAATTTGTGTTTTGGGTTTGATTGATGAATTAATTGAATTTTATGGGTTGATTGTTATGGGTAATGGATTATTTGGTGGATTTTGAGAGATTGAATTGAAAAATGATGATTTTGAGTTATGATTTTGTTTGAATGGTGAAATTATGTTAGAAATAAGGAAAGAACAGTTGGTTTCTGTTGAAATTCTAGGTTGGAGGTTGAAGATGACAAAAATTCATTTTGGTCCTTCAATTTGTGGAAATTACAGTTTAGTCCCCAAACTTTGAAAAATTTACAGATTGGTCCCTGGGGCATATTCCGAGATTCTGAACAGAATAAAACATAAATTATGGGCAGAATTCCTGTATAGTTATGAAATTTTAACACTTTCAATTTGGTCCTTCAATTTGACAAAAATTACCATTTAACCCTAAAAATTTGATAAAATTCCAGAATGGTCCCTGGAGTATAATGAGATGATCTGGACAGAAATGAGGATTGATTATGGTCAGAATTTCAGTATAGTCATGGATTTATGATAATTTTAGTTTGGTCCTCCAAATGGATAAAATTACAATTTGGCCCTAAAAATGTGATAAATTTCATATTAGTCCCTAGCTGTGATGTTAGCCTTTTCAGATTGGTTTGTTGAATAAATTAGGGTTATTTAGTGAATTATTACCAATTTTGTTATATGTTTTATTTTGGATTAGATTTCGGAAAAACCGTTAATTTTTGGGTTTTTAGAAAAATAACTAGTTTAGTCTAAAAACATATAGGGTTATGGAATAGACCCTTGGTTAAGTGTATTAAATAGGATATATGTTCTTTTGAGTCATTCTTGAATATGTTTCCTTTATATTCAGATAATCCTGATAGTCTACCGGCGGGACGTCAGTAGGATTTTCTCCAGTGTCTGCTTTTGACTTTTGTTTGCTTCGAGTCAAGTGAGTGGATAATTTTCCATATGCATGAGAAATATTATAAATATTTGATTTGTTAATATGAATTGGATCATGCTTCTTGGTAATATATTTGGTGACTAATATCCTTGTTATGATAAGCATGATCATTCGTTGAATCCGAATTCTTGATATGAACCAGTATGTATTTTGGATTGACTTATGAATTGATAACTCCTCATTTGATTGATGTCATGAATTGAACCTTGAGATATGAATATGTCTGTTTGATTATGATTATGACCCTATGGTATGTCAGTCAGAATACCCATGCTAACAGGGTAATGTTAGTCTTTGTGCACATCGTATCTGAACCCTAGTTGGTCGGGGGAGTCACCAACCTGTGTGGATTGATCATCCCACAGTACGGAGCCTCATGCTCATTGCATTTTGATTTTCTCACGATTTTATCATATGATATTCTTGTTATGGCCTATTTGAGAAACCTTTTTATAAGAACCTTAATCCATACTTGTATATATTTCTCATTGTTGTATTATCTCGTGTGTGTATATTGAACGTTATCTACTCACTGAGTTGTTGAACTCACACTCTTATTATTTATCATTTTCAGGCTTATAGCTTGATAGCAGGTCACTTTTGTTGGACCTTCAGAACCTGCTCTTTTAATTGTAATTTGTACTTTCTTTTATGTGTAGTCAGTGCTCCAAAACTCTTGTATTAAGACAATTAAGTTATATTATGAAATTAGTTTGTTGATGCTGCTGTGTTGAACTCTGATTGACTTATTAAAGGATAAGTTTGTATGTAAGTTTGGGTTCGCAAAGGTATGGAACCTTGGAGGGGAACCTTGCCTATGTGCTGGTCATGGATCCGATATTCGGGCCGTGACAATAGATCTATTATTTTATGAGGTTACTTTAATGATAAATCATACAGGTCTTCTTATTTGGGCAGCACATAAAAGGTTGATCCATATCTGTCTTCATACTCTGAGTATTACAATGCCATTACCGAGCTCACCACCTTGACAAGAGTCAACTTGTTCCCGGAACCTGCGCATGCCCTCTGCTCCTTAATAGCAGCCGCGTCTTAATGCTCCACAAGTCATCCACTTATTGTCCAAGGCAAATGTCTTCTAGCTCATTGATCTTTAGCATGGGGGCAATATCCATGAAAGTCAATCCTATATTTGTCTCCATACTCATCATAGCCCTTTCATTGGCTATCCATCTGTCCACTCATACCTAGCCATCACATTGGCTCTGAGGTGTTCTGAACTAGGCTCCTTCCACGGCCCTCACACCTTCTCTTGAGGTGTCTCCGCTCGTTGTCATACGGCGGTCTGATCATGGGCTCATCTCATAGCCCTCACACCTTCTCTTTAAGGTGTCTTCGCCTTTTATAGGCGGTCGCATCCTTCTTCATCGGGGATGTCTCCAGTGACTAAGATTCTCTATCACCATGTGGACTTGTTTTATAGGCAGTCGCATCCTCCTTCAGCTAAGATGCTTCAAAGTGGCTCCGAGAGTTCATTGCCACTGATCACATAGAAAGAGAAAGTTGCGGTATACTCCTCGCAATCCTCCACCTCGATTTCTATGTTTGGAGCTTCTACGTCTTTCATCATTACACTTGACAGCTCCACCTACACCAACTCCCTTTGGTGTCTTCGCCTTTCATCATAGGCGGTCGCCTTTTATCAAAGGCGTTTGCACCCCCTCAATTAGGTGCATCTGCAACAGCTCATCCTTCCATCCTTGCATGCATTGGAAAGGTCCTCGCTTATTGCCTTTATCAAGAGACTTCCTATTGTACAACCTTCACACAGTCTCTGCTCTGAGCTTCATCTGGGAACTCTTCTTCTCCTTGCACCTGTTGTCTCACTATAGTACCTCGTTGGATCCTCCGGGTACTCCTACACAATCTTCATGTGCTCTCGTGCAATTTTGGTTCTCTAGATTTCTCCCTATTCCTTGCTTATGTTTGACAGCAGCTCATCCTGTCACAACATCTATCCAAGTCAGAATAGGGTGCCAATCTTTATCCCTGTGTTGTATTTCTCTTCCATTATCAGGGTCTTCATCAATTCTCCCCTCGAGAAATTACAGTCACCGAATCTAACTTCCTTGGAGAAATCACCACTCCATCAGATCCTTGATCATACGGAACCCAACTGTTCCTTTGTGCCATCATCCTGCTAGTCTTCAACAGTTTCATAACAAACTATCACATATACGAAAATAGTACCGTATGGATAATCCTTCCACTAAGCAAGTTCGCAGGAAAGATTGGAGGGGTCACACCGGTCCCGCTTAAAACCCAATCTCCTAGCCAGAACTTCTTAGGCCATATCTATCCATCGTACTGTCTTTTCGTATACACAACCATTTGCTAGCTTTGTCGCGGCTTTCCTTTACAAGTGATCTGGGGTATCCTTATTTTATACTTGATTTCTTAACATCTGGCGAGACTACCAGTGCTTAGATTCGTCAAGATTGGTCTTCATCAAATTTCACTCTCCACCTCAAATTGTCCAAATGATCGGGTATCAAGAGTGTCCCAATTTTACCTTCCCTCAAGGCAATTAAAATTCCCCACATAATACTTTAACACATGTAATTGGGCAAACATGTGTGATTTCTTCTTCTTCAGCTCTATCGACCACCATGATGACCATCAGATGCCTCCTGATCGGGCAATCTCTCTTTAATAATTTATCACCGCCATTTCTGATCTCAATCTCAATGATCGGACCGTACCATTGGATCTGGAATGATCAAATTAGCTGGAAACAAGTCTGAAATCGTCCAAATCACACTTCAGACGGCTGAGATCTCATCAAAACAATTTTCGCCTGATCAGTGGTCCAGATTCAATCTCAGATCCAGTTGCACGTAGACTCCACCACACAGAATCATATCCCTCGGCTCATGGCTCGGCTCGGCTTCAACTCGCGGCTGGTGGCGTGGCGGTGGGGTCCACACATGATGACGTGGCTGCTGACTGGTGCTGATATGGCAGTGCTGACATGTCCGATGACGTGGCGGTTTGACTGATCAGAGTCCTGATATGTCAGGTGACGTGTCTGATGACTGTGTAGAACTGCTGACGTGGTTGCTAACGTGGACAGTCACCCCCCACCGACGTGGGCGATGGTTTCCG